TTCCCCGGATTCCTCTGAAAAAACTCCTAATCGTGATCTATCTGTGGAGTCAGCGCGAGTTGCGCTCTAGAGTTTCTTCCATGGTTGGATTGACGAAAAACACCGTTGGACGTGTGTTTGCCACGCTCCGCTTCATTTGTAAGACAGATATAGAAGATAGACCAGTCACCCCATTTGGCGGGCGTGTGTACGTGGTCAAGTGTGACGAAAGTCAATTCGAGCACAAATCGAAGGTGAGAAAGTGCACTGTCATTTTCATTTCAAACGGAGGCCTCTGTTTGAAAACTTAGTTTTGTAGCAAATTCTTGACAACTTTTAAAGGAAATCCATCAATTTCCGGGCTCGCCAAGTCTCATTTATTTATCTGCTTATGGTTTGACAGAGGTTACGCCCCCTTTTAAGATTGCCCCCCTGTAATACGCCCGCCTCTACTAGCTTAGAACATCCCAGAATCAGAGTAGTCTTTAGAATTGCCGCCAAGTATCACACACATCCAACTCTCCGTACGGAAAAATTATTTTACCACGAAATATTAAAAGGGTTTGATCCGCAAGCATTTTTTCCTGCTGCAAGTTATACATATGCTCGCGAGCACAGCTAGGTTGAAGAATTGTCCGTTTTTCTGGCTACCGTGCCCATAATACAAAAACGCCTAACACCCGCCATTAAATCTGGTAAGGAGGGTTTATATGCCAGGAGAGTGCTTTATTTCGCAAGCATCAAATCAAAGTTAATCGTTATTTTGACAAGCATGAGTGCCAATGTAAATCTCCGTTTTAAAAAATTTAATCGTTATAGTATCAAAGAGGTCGCAGGGCCAGCGATGAAGTGTGGGTGTTTGGCTTGATCTCTACGGAACACAGTCCTTGTCGGGGCTACTTTCAAGTTGTGAGGAGAAGAGACCGCCGAACATTGTCCAATATTCTTCAAAGGGTCCTCCTGCTTGGGAGAGTAGTGCACACTGACGACTGGGCTGCGTACAGGAACCTTCATCTGTACGTTCCTAACGTGA